GCTCTGCTACTGAGTCTACAGCGGACAGTAGTGAGAGATGCTAAGAGAAGAGCGACGAAGGCATTGTGAAACGGAGGAGAGAGCCACTGGCGCTGTACAGTGGAGAATGTCAAGTAAGCACGGTAGTTGTAGTAGGAAGTTTCTGTGCTGTTATCACGTCGCTTCGAGGCTCATGCCGTTCTGATGTCAGGTTGTATGCTAAAGCTATGACCTGGCCTATCACCATTATTGGTATGTTCACCTCTAGTGAAGGCTTCAGAGTTACAGCAGCGTGGTGGTTGTCTAAATGGTCGGCTCATCCCGAGTCCCCTGCTGCCCGTAATGTGGCCTACTATATGGGGATATATGGTGTCATCTGCCTCTCCCAACTGGTCGCTCTATTCTTCGGCCAGATCATGACGGCTATTGGTGGCATCACAGCTGCCAGGAACCTCCATCGTCGGATGTACGATTGTCTGCTGCGTGCGAAGATGTCCTTCTTCTACTCCACGCCCATCGGCCGTATACTGAATCGCTTTTCTAAGGACGTGCAGGACATGGACCGTAACTTGGCTCCATCGCTGACAATGACGGTGAACTCTGTCCTTACACTCATAGGGACTATGGTGCTGTTGTCTTTGTCTGCTTACTATACGCTTATAGCCTTCGCACCAGTGTTGTTGGCCTTCTATTACGTGCAGAACTACTACAGATGCACTAGTCGAGAAGTGAAGAGGTTGGATGCCCTCACTAGAAGTCCCATATACAACCACTTCCAGCAGACCCAGGATGGTGAGGGCGGGTGACAGCTCGAATGGAATAGTGTCCTCTCAGGCATCTCGACTATCCTGGCATTCCGCAAGCAGGACGCCATGGACGCCGTTAATTCCTATCTGATAGACCATCACATTCGCTGTAATGTGGTGCAGATGTCCAGTAACCGTTGGTTGGCCATCCGGCTCGAGGCCTTTGGTGGCTTCCTCGTGCTCATAACGGCGGTCTTTCTGATCATGGCCCGCAATATTATCAATCAAGGCGTCGCTGGTTTGGCTATCAGCAGTGCCTTGCAAGTGAGAATTCATGTTGTGGTGTAGTTAGGGAGAGTTCCCTTCGTTGTTCAGATAACTGCAGCGCTGAGTATGTTGACGAGAGTGATAGCGATGGCCGAGAATGCTTTCAACTCGGTGGAACGTATCGTGGGGTATTCTGAAGTGGAACCGGAAGCAGCCTCGGTGGTGGAGAGTAATAGACGCCCAAGGACTGGCCACATGATGGGAAGATCACTACAAGTGAGATGAGCTGAGTCGTCTTTCAGTAGAGTGGGATTCAGATGTCACAGCTCGATACCGCTCTGATCTG